GACGGACAGACAGACGGACAGACAGACGGACAGACCTACATGGCTAGATCGACTCGGCTAGTGATCCTGATCAAGAATATATATACTTTATGGGGTCGGAAACGCTTCCTTCTCCCTGTTACATACTTTTGCACGAATACAATATACCCTTTTACTCTACGAGTAACGGGTATAAAAATCTTATTAAGAAATACATTTACATTTAGTATGCCCCTTGTTGTTTAGAGTTGGTTAAACATATTATATACTGCTTAACATAGAGCTTAATTTACCTTCCCAATGATTTTTTCTTTATTTTTTTGTGATTCCATTCAGATCGTAAACAAAGCCGCAAAGGTGTCAAACGCCAAAGCTAAAGTCAATAAAAATAGTTTACCCATGGGTGAATATACATAAACCCATTCGAACTTCTACAAACATATAAATATGCATTTGTGTGCTTGTTTGTGTTTGTGTGCTTGACTATTTACGAGCTTGTTTGTTGTCCACTTTAAACCAGAACAAGGAAAAACTAGCAAAATGTATCTGTAAGATACACATATTTTCAGCTTATTGCCAAATGTTTTGTCAGAGCTCTCGACAAAGAAAAACCAATTCGAAAACCCCAATCCGAATTAAAATGGGGTTGCGACACAGAAATACAAGCCAAAAGTGATCTTCCCATGCGGGTCTTTAACATAATTTCCTCTGAAACCTCTGTAAGGCGGTCGCATTTGCATAGATTTAATCCACCCGATATGTATAGGTAGCCCTTTATCAGCGAATTTATTCAATAATTTTATGAACAGTTTAGCGCAAGAATGAACTCATTAGGTTTCCGTTTTGAGGTGTGGTAAGCTACTTGACTTCATCTTTGCAGAATTAATCGAAATATCAAACCTGTGAGATTCCCAGTGATTTGAAATCATAAATCGGGTAGTTTAAAATATAAGAATGTCCCTTAAATATTTCAGATACTAAAATATCTTTTACAGGTGAAAAATCCATCTAGTTCATAGGTATTAATAAGTTTCCTGCTCATCATCAATGCACAGCTCACCGTTTCAATATTCCAAATAATATTAAAATTTTTAAAATCGTATATAAGCGATTGTGGGCGTTATAGGGGGCGTGACACCATTTTGAAACAAACTTGCGCTGTGTAGGAACTCCTAAAATCTGCATGCAAAATTTCTGAGATCTCAGCGTTCATACAGACAGACAGACGGACAGACGGACAGACAGACGGACAGACAGACGGACAGACCTACATGGCTAGATCGACTCGGCTAGTGATCCTGATCAAGAATATATATACTTTATGGGGTCGGAAACGCTTCCTTCTCCCTGTTACATACTTTTGCACGAATACAATATACCCTTTTACTCTACGAGTAACGGGTATAAAAATCTTATTAAGAAATACATTTACATTTAGTATGCCCCTTGTTGTTTAGAGTTGGTTAAACATATTATATACTGCTTAACATAGAGCTTAATTTACCTTCCCAATGATTTTTTCTTTATTTTTTTGTGATTCCATTCAGATCGTAAACAAAGCCGCAAAGGTGTCAAACGCCAAAGCTAAAGTCAATAAAAATAGTTTACCCATGGGTGAATATACATAAACCCATTCGAACTTCTACAAACATATAAATATGCATTTGTGTGCTTGTTTGTGTTTGTGTGCTTGACTATTTACGAGCTTGTTTGTTGTCCACTTTAAACCAGAACAAGGAAAAACTAGCGAAATGTATCTGTAAGATACACATATTTTCAGCTTATTGCCAAATGTTTTGTCAGAGCTCTCGACAAAGAAAAACCAATTCGAAAACCCCAATCCGAATTAAAATGGGGTTGCGACACAGAAATACAAGCCAAAAGTGATCTTCCCATGCGGGTCTTTAACATAATTTCCTCTGAAACCTCTGTAAGGCGGTCGCATTTGCATAGATTTAATCCACCCGATATGTATAGGTAGCCCTTTATCAGCGAATTTATTCAATAATTTTATGAACAGCTTAGCGCAAGAATGAACTCATTAGGTTTCCGTTTTGAGGTGTGGTAAGCTACTTGACTTCATCTTTGCAGAATTAATCGAAATATCAAACCTGTGAGATTCCCAGTGATTTGAAATCATAAATCGGGTAGTTTAAAATATAAGAATGTCCCTTAAATATTTCAGATACTAAAATATCTTTTACAGGTGAAAAATCCATCTAGTTCATAGGTATTAATAAGTTTCCTGCTCATCATCAATGCACAGCTCACCGTTTCAATATTCCAAATAATTATAGCTGTCCCTTCCAACGACGGCAGTGAATAATCCAAAGTCGAATAGTTTTAAGTAGGCACACAAAGCTTGACTTAACCAGCGATTATTCAGTTAATTTGGCTTGCCAACTCAAACTTGGCACAGTGATCGCTTGACTCTGCCTATCTTGGCTCACTTTGGGAAATTGCTTGCGTGCAATTAATTAAACAAATTGCTTTACTTTCACCTACTGCCGAGTGGCGAGCAGCAATGGCCACAGAATCAACATTTGCATGGCATTTTTGCTCATTCGCACAGCACTGGCACAACAACACGCACACACTCTCACACACGGCTGCAGTTATTTATATTTTCCTCGAATTCTTTTCCTTTTTATTTTTTATTTTGGCAGGTTTTCGGCTAACAGGAAAATTGACTCTGCGGATGTATGCGAATGCTGCCTATATACCGAAAACAACTTTTCGCGCATATTACACGGCCACGCTCAATCGGAGAATCAGAGAATCGGAGTGAGAGAGCTGAGGAGACGGAGTCCCACACCGAGACAGAATAGCAACGAATCGAAACGAACCAACCGATCGCTGGAGAATCGTTCTGCACGGCGAAAAGTCAAAAACACAACTGAAACTTCTTCGGGGGAAAAGTATTTTTACAGAGCGATCCAGCGATCCACCGAAGGCACGCGCAATAGACGAGGTCTTGGACTCGAACTCGGACTCGGACTCAACAGGTCTGCGAGATCGGCTCTCTTCGCAAATGTACATCTCTCGGTCGGCGGGAGAGCCAAGAGCCACTTTGAGTGAGTATCTCAAACCAGTTGATCTTGTTTTGGTTTTTTTGGGCCTGGTTACATGACGACTGCCGACTCCTTCGGCCAGTTCGTGTCCTAAGTCTTTTGTTTTGCGCGCATGGACTGCAAATGCCCGGCCATTATTATCTATGAGTTATTTACGCTCGGCGATTTTGTACTTTTTGTGGGCTGTGAGCTGTGAGCTGTGGGCCCTGCTCTTGTTATGGCCGAAACGAAGCTCGTGGGCTTGGCACACGCTAACCCGAATCGCAACCGTGGAGCTCGGCCGTCGGAATTTCCATGGCGTCGACAGGTTTGGCTTTGGTCCTCCTCTCCCGCCTCCCCCTGCCATTTACACTGCTCGAAGTTGGCTACTGTGCTTCCCCAAATGGCCAAGGAGCGTAGAGCGTAGGAGTCGCTAATGGTTCAATGACCAGCAAGGAGCTGAGACAGAAGCCCAACAGCACTAATCACCGCAACTGCCAGTGAAACGACCTTGTGTGAGTGTATCTCTGAGGGCTGCCTGCCGCACAAACGTCACAGTTTACTTCGGAATTTATGGCCAAACTGGGCCCTAAGTTCGGTTTAGTGTGCCATTGTTCTGGTCGGGCCGCCTCACATCTCCCATGACAATCGGCAGAACAAGAACGCCGCCAAATGGCAAACCAGTCGGGAAGCTGAAGCTGTCCTGCCAATGCCCCAACGCACCAGCCACTTGACCAGGCGAAAAACGAGCGACCAACTGGTTGCAACTGGCAACTTTGCTGCCAAGCATGCGCCAAAGAATTTCGCCAGCGATTTTCGGAATGTCTACAATGCTCAGAGTGTGCAAGGGAAAACATCAACAAAAAATCGCCAAAGAATGAAAACAAAAACACGGGAAGACTGGTCCGCCAAAGGCGCGATGAGTGGGGCGTGGCCGAATTCAGACATGTTCTTGATCGGCTGCGTTAGCAGGGTACATTAATAGTTATAACTACGATTTTTTGGTTATTCGCAGTAAATTTGTAAATAATAAAAGAGAAGGCACTTTTATTTAATTTTACAGTTTGGTCACAAACACTAGCCTTCTCCTCAATCAAATATTGTCTTTCAACTTCCGCAGATAAGAAATTCCAAATATTATCTTAATTACACAGAGATTCCCATCGATCCCAAACAAAAGGAATTCTAACTGTTTGCTTTACCATACCCATTTGAACGGTATTCGGGTAGATAATGCGGTCCTAACAGAGACTGCGTAAGAGCAAGAACCTTTTCAGGTGCTATCTGGAACTGATCAGCGGGCCACACTTGAGGGATTATAATCGGTCAGAGGCAAGGACGTGTCTCTGGATGGGATGCGACTGGTGTTGTGACAGGCGGACCGTCCCTCGCTGGGCTCTTTATTGTTAGGGCATAAATCAACAGGAGACTCGCAACTCGAAACGCACCAGAACCGCAGTCTCAGTCCCAGGTAGCCGAAGACGACACAAAGTTCCAAACGTCCACCACTGAGCTCAATTAGTGCAGTCGCCTCGGTGCTTTGTGTGCGCTGCATTCTTTGCATGCCAAGGTGGCATTTGATTGATAATTTCGTTACGCCTCGAACATGCCCCACAAAAAATGACAGAAAAAGACAACAGAACATGGAAAACCAAAAGTAAAAAATATTCAATTTGATAAGTGTGGGTTCTCGAAAGCAGAGATTTATGGCGTGTTCATGCTGCCTCTTCGATTCGCTGGGACACCGAACAACACGGCCTGATGCTAAGTGCCCGCATCTGATTTCGAGATTAGGAACGACAATGAGACAATTTTCTTGCTACATTTCGGAAATGTAAAACAAATTTGGGTTTTCCAAAGCTATAAACTTAACGGGGAAAAATGACTTCGTTGATTTCCAAAGTCACCATGAAATTCGTGTGCGAAACCACATTTCTGTTTACATGCTAAGGAAAAACAGCTTGTTATCCATTAAGATTAAAACATATTTGTATATTTTTGATATTTCAAAATGGTAAAATTTGTAATATTATGATTAGTCATAAGAGGGCAATTGGCGTATATCATTTATTGGCAACTACGTTGGAGATGTTTGAGTACCTAAATACGGCACCTACTTATTTAGGCAAAACGTTGTCTCTTAAGACTGGATTAATTAAAATTGAGTTTGAAATTCTCATCTAAGCATAAGTAATGCATCATATAATAACACTTCAATTGGTTAACTACGAGCTACATACAATTTGGGCAAGAGCAAATACTAGTGTAAAATTTGTAGATCATTCCTATATTTGATTTTGGTTAAGAGTAAAATTTGTATGTATCTCATGAATATCACTGAACAGCGACCCAACTCGAATGCTTTCGGAGCGGCAATGTGGAAGATCCCTCAATCCTCTAGAGTCCAGACCCTAGACTTCAAGTTTCAGTTTGCCGTATTTCTGAAACTTGCTGAGAAACTCGTCTCATTTCTTCACTCCGACGTACGTGGTACTCTTTCCAGTCTTGCGCAGCTGTTCCATTAGCTCGTCGGACGACAGGTTTGACGTAACGCTCACCGTCCGGTCCTCCAAGTTAATGTTGACTTTTTCGACCTTATCTGCGGGATGGCAAAACACATACTTTAGTTGGTAACCGCCGAAAGAAAGGCACCGCAACTGATAAGCAATGGTGGGAATTACAATGCAAATGATGGTTAAGCTTCTTATCACTTTGAAATTTATTATATTCGGAGGCTACATTCAGATTTACACTTCATAAAAAGATATAGATATAACTATTTTCCGAAATTTCTTTATATAATTATTTACAATCAGGTGAAAGTGATTTTGACCCTGTAAAATCCATTTTTATTTTGAGCTGTGTCTTAATAAAATCAATCTAATGATTCTGTTTGATTGCCCACAAACTTAAATGAACCTTTTTAAAGAAGTTAAAGTTTCGTTTTAAGGTTGAGGTACTTTTACTTTAATTTATATTTAAACGGAATTTGTTTTATTTTTTTTTATATTTTGTATATCTGAATAAATGACTTTTCTTTGAACAGAAATAAAATTAATGTTGTTGTAAAGACGGTGATCAAATTAAAATAAAATTTCGAAATGTCTTCGAAAAAGTTCACCCACTATGCAAGTACAATATATGTTTGTATGTAACGACCGATAAGAAGGCATTAATTAACTTAATACCTTTCACTACTGATACGTACCGCCCAATTTGCCCAAGACACGTTCCACGGCGCTGGCACATCCACCGCAGGTCATTTCCACCTTGAATTCGTGCACCTGCGAAAAGCGGGAAAGAGGAGAAGGTGGAAATGAAAGGTTTGCCATGTCCCAATCGATTTTAAGGTATTTTCAAGGAGCTGGGACCCACTGGCATCCTGCTGCTGCTGCTGCTGTGACTTCTGGAGTCAGTTGTATGCTTGTACACTTGCGGTAGGTTGAACAGCTTGGCGGCTTTGTTAATTACTTCCGGACGTGGCACAAAACCTTTATTTGTTTTATTTGTCAGTAAATTTGTCAGTGAATTGTTGAGATATTTTTAGAGGTGGACAAATTTGCGTGAGATACTATTAGAGGTGAACAGATACCCATGGAAACATCGCGCAACGTCAAAACGTAAATGTCAATACGTAAGTGTCATTTATAGCCTATTCACATTAGTCAACATCTTGTATTTTTTAGTATATTTTGTGCCCATCACCTTAAAAAAAATCAATTTTTTTTATTTTTTTTTCTTGTAGATTAAGATTTTAAGATTCTACAAAAAAAGTTTTTAGTCAATCGGACAAAAACTTAATAAGTTATGCTAAAATTAGTACCCTAACCTCTAAAATTTTCAATGAAAAGCAAACGAAATTTATTTGACCTCCCAAAAAGTTTAATCTGTTAATATCGATATCGATATATATTTCGTCCCAGCTAAAGGCTTTAGCTACCTATTTGCCAGAATATGTTGAAAAAAAGTTTAAAATCATAGATTTCGTAATGGTCTCCTCAGCAATTTCACAGTTGGTAAAATGTGCGCAATGTTTTGGATCTGTTCATTGAAAGTGGCAAAAATGACAGTCTTGGCTTTCAAATCAAGCTAAAATGTGCCAATTGTGATCCGCGCTTCGTAAGTGCTGAAAAATTTCTCCTAAGTGCAGAAAAACAGAAATCTATTGAAAATTCAGAGTCGAATACTTTGACTGTTTCTGGTGACGGAACTTGGCAAAAACAAGGATTCAGCTCCTTGTTTGGAGTTACATCATTGATTGGGTATTGGTCTGGAAAAGTTATAGATATTTTCGTAAGTAGTTCGCATTGCGCAGCAATCGAAATGTTTCGCCGATCTGAAGAAAAATATGGACTGGATGGAAAACATAAGCAGTGCTTAGCACAGCTGCTGGTACGGGACAAAAGCTGCCTGCGCTAAGATACCGCTGGTGCTGGTGCTGAAAGGCTGCCAGCTCTAGGGATCGCCGAACTCAAATGTTTAATTGTAACCTTTTGTTATTTTCTTTTTTTTCTGTGGTCACTATCACATTGTGTTCATGCATAATCTAAATTATTTGAAATGAGGCGCGCATCTTGTCTCGTATTTCTTTTTCACAAGCTGCAAACTATTCTGCTCTCGCTTAACACTACGACCATCGTATGTGATCTTCTGCCTTTCACCCGTCGATTGCGATTTTTGTCAATTTTTGCCAATTTTTCCGATCTTTAAGCGATCTGTTTTAACGTAAACTGTCTCGAATACTTTTTTACTTGAAGCAAATTAACGTTAGCTCATTTCTCTTTGCGGTCGCGAGTTGTGCTGAAACAGTGGAAAGTCGTGAAGCTGAAATGCGATATGACGATTTAGATAATGAAATACGACAAAATATAAACAATGCAATATGACGAGTTGGAAGCTGAAATAGAAGTCACGAAGCTGAAACAGTGCAATATGACAAAAAGGAAGTAAATATAAGAATTTGAATTTTTAACTCAAATTTTAAAAAAACTTTCATTTTGGAAAAATACCAAAAACACTTCCTTGCGAAATGTGAGAAATTTGCAGAACAATTGGCTTTCTCTATCTCTTTTACATTTTAAAAATAAGGAGTTCGAAGAGGTTAAATCAGAAAATAAACTAAAAAATCGGTTACAATACAATGAATAGGCTTTGAAGGCCCTCAATTTAAAAAACTTAAAAATTTAGCAAGCAAACTAGACAGGAACTCCGTATTGACATTTGACGAAGCATATTTAAGAAGTCAAATTTCGTATCAGTCTGGGGCCGACTGAGCTTTGGGATTTATAGACTGATGGAATGTTAGGCCAAGATCTGTATTGCTCCCCAGCTATTGGATACTTCAGTATCGGCTAACATCGCGAGTTATGGTCCTTCATGATTTTTTTTTTGTATTTTGGTTTTATTTCTTCCAAACGCTACAAGTTCAAAAAATGCTTATAAATTAGTGGTCACAACCTGGTCACAATTTGTTAAGTCCATGAACATCTTGTACACCTCTTTAAAAATGTACGAAGCAATTTGAAGCTTCATTTCCAAATTTTTCAAATTGGAGTAGACATTGTGTCCTGGAATATCGTTGAAAAGTTTTTTAAGGACGATGAGACCCGTACAATTCGGCTGGCCTCGAAACTGCGCACAGACGACCTTTACTCTGTGACAGAGTTCTCTAAAGCGGTTAGTAGTGGCATAGAAAATACTGCTTGTAATTTTGAAAATTTATCGATGGCCCAAAACACAGCACCAAAAAAAGGGAATTAGGGGAATATTTAAAGCCACTCAAAATGACACGAAGCCCTTCGGAGGCAGTTTGTCTAAATAGTCTCATTAAGGCCTGTGAAAGCATTAATATAATGTGTGATAGACTAATTAAAAGCAGAGTGTCACAATCGGTAGCCACGTTTCGGTTTAACAAAACCCTATTAAAAATGATTTCCTTTTCCAGAAGAGCGGGTAATAAGATCATAGAGTAATATACTGTATAGAGACGCCATTTGCTCTGCCGAACCTCTGCCCAAGCTCTGCTGAGAGCCATTTCAAGGCCAAGTTCGAAGCGAACATTGATTTCTCACCGCATCCAACGTGTGCGAAGCAACAGCAATAGTGGTAAGAGTCCACATACAAAAAGGTGTCATCATTGGCGAATTCGCCGAAGAGAGCGGCAGAGCATTATTACTCTATGATTATGTATAGAGACGCCATTTGCTCTGCCGCTCTCTTCGGCGAATTCGCCAATGATGCCACCTAGGCGAAAAACAAAAATTCCCTAATTTTTCATATGTTCGAATCAAACATGCATTTTGGTGAGTTTTATGGTATTTTATATATCTGCACCGCTCTCACTCATTATTTTGTTTCTGTGTGTGGATTCTCACCACTATTGCTGTTGCTTCACACAAAAGTTCGCTTCGAACTTCTCCCAGTTTGGGTTCGGGCAGAGGATCGGACAGAGCATTCTATGGAATCTAAAAATAAAAAAGTGGGTTTAGAATACTACCTAACATAACTGCGTTTAAATTTTGGTAGTTTGTTAGCTACGAGTTTGAATTTAAGTTTACCTCTGCACGAAATAAGCTGTGAGCCACTGTAGTTTCTTACTATATGGAAATAGTCACTTACGGTTTAGCAGCCATGGCGAGCATTGACCAAATATTAATGTTTGTGGAGGAGGCAACTGCCCTTGTCCCTAAAGGGAAAAGAAGCCTAACAAATGTAAAGCTTCTGGACATTATGTCCAAATCTGACCGGGATGTTGTGGGCGAGACGTTAATTTTTGATATTATAATTTTTACAAAAATGATAAAATGTATTGATATTATAATAATTAAATATAATAATGAAATAAAAGCAAATTTTTTAAAAATAATAGATTTAACCATTAAAATAATAGAAGAAATTAATAAAAATAATATAAATGAAGATAATAATATTGAAATAATAAATAATGATAATAATAATGAATATAATAATATTGAAATAATAAATATGGAAGAAGATAATAATAATAATGAAGCTAATTATATTGAAATAATAAACCATGATGAAATAAATGATAATGATAATAAATCAATAAATTCTAATTTGTCTAATATTTCAACAACTTATAAATTCTGCTATAAATGTAAGCGCGATTTCGATGATGCCAAACAATTTCATAATCATTTAGGTATTGCCCAATAAAATGCCCCAAAAACTTTGCTTGCCAATTATGCAAGTATATATCACTTTCCGAAAAAGGACTTGCAAATCATATGCGTAGACATAAAATAAAGCGATGTAAATCGTGTTTGAAGAAGAATCCTGACGAAAAACATATCCTTTTTTGCGGAAAGCTCGAAAAAACAGCGGGACCAAAAATGAGTGCTATTTCTTTTTTAAATTCTATGAAAAATAAGAAGTAGTACTCATTTTTGGCCTTTTTTATCATTATTATTTCCCTTTTATAATTTGAATTTTATTTTGTTTTGTTACCTTTTTATACTTTGAATTTTATTTTGTTTTGTTACCTTTATTTTTAACTACGACAACTGAAATGCTCGATCCAACTTTTATATTTAGCTTATACTTTTCATTTATGCTTTATTTTAATTTCGTGTTTTTAAAAATTTAATGCCGTTTACGTGTTTTGCTCGTACCATCACTAAAACATCAAGTGATATCGATATTATTATCGACACATCAATATAACAACAAGCTTTCGTGCGACATATCGTGCCAGTGCGCTCCAACGGTTTTTTATTTTCAAACCTTGTGAAAATGTAAACTTATTTAGCGTATTTTACGAAAACTATTAGTTTTACAGAAAAAATGTATATAACATAAATTATTCATTTTTTTAATATCTTTCATTTCTCTTTAGCCAGCCACGGGTGAACTTCCGTTTAGCTCCTGCCCCCAATTTTGCTCAAACTTTCCATATCGTCGTGTTTTTGGGTCCTGATTACGGGAAAATTAGTCAAAATTTGCGCAAATAACGGGATCATGGAAAATAACGGTAAAAACTGTTTTCGTAAATATCTTCGAATATATTAACTAAATCAACAAATTAGCTAAAGAGAAATGAAAGATATTAAAAAAATGAGTATTTTATGTTTTATACATTTTTTCTGTAAAACTAATAGTTTTCGTTAAAAACGCTAAATAAGAATATTTTTTCACAATGTTTGAAAATAAAAAACCGTTGGAGCACACTTGCGTCATTTTGCCCGATATATCGCACGAAAGCTTCATGTTGTATCGGTGTGTCAAAATTTATATCGATGTCTCTCGATGTATTAGCGATGATACTACCTAAGCACGAGAATGGCATTACATTTTTTAGGAAGAGCATTTCAGTTCTCGTAGTTAAATATAACATTTAGAAAACAAAATAAAATATAAATTATACAACGGAAATAAAATGTATTAACAAGGATATCGCTTCCTGCATCTTGCAACGTGTAAGTTGTTGGACTCTTCCTCATCATAAAATTATGTAGAGCGCAACAGGTACTGCTCCACCAATCCAAATAGCGTATTGAAACTGCTCTCCGGCATGTGAAAGTTTTCAAAAAACATTGTGCGAGTGTGGA